GCTAATACTAAGGCTTTCTAAACACTCCCAGGAAGAGGATACTATTGGTGTAGTTATCGAGGACGAGGAAGAGGAAGGGCCGGTTGGTGACGAAGGGCACGCGGCGAGGGGGGTGGGAGAGGCGGCCGAACACCTTCGTCTGGATCGGGCTGGTCTCGGCGCCCTCCTCCGTGAACTCCACCATTACCTTGTGCACGCCGTCCTTCACCTTCAGGCCGCCCGTCGGGAAGAAGCCTCGCATGTTGGCATCCGTGGTGAACAGGTCCTCGATGCCCAGGCGGATGAGAGCCTGGAGATGACAGAATGATAGCGCGCGTGATGGAGTGTGTTTTTCCATGGAATATGAATGGAATTTTAAGCGTTCTGTGTATGTATGTTCTGTGTTATTAAAGCCTCTTATTTTGATTAAGGACTGGAGGAAGAATACACATAAAGATTAAACATGAGAATAACCTCCCAAATAGAACAAAGCAACACATATCAGTATTCATATATGCATGCATATTTACACATAAACGTCTGTCTGCTAGTCAGTTTGTTCGTGTGTCTGTCAGTCAGTCAGACTGTTTGTCTTTCTCTCTCTGTTCATCTATATTTAACCAGCTTCACGTTATCTCTCCAAAGGTAGTCTTACCCCCGTGAGCTCACTCCTGAGGCTGTTCTCGAGTCTGAACTTAGGGAACTTTAGGAGGACGTCGCGCTTGACCAGGTTCCCGATGGCAGGCCTGAGCGAAGCCGGCTGGAACTGGCGCAGCATGTCGTCCAGCTCGCGGCCGGTGTTGCGATCCCGCGGGAGGAACACGAACAGGGAGGCTCCTCGCTCTCGGTAGGGGATCTCCAGGACTTGCGCGTCCAGGTCGCCCGAGTAACCTGCAACGGGTTTGGAATCAGGACTTGATAGGAGTTGCGGGGGTTTGGTTTAGACAGTACAACGTTTAGGTCTAAACTTTGGTTTATGATTATTTTTAAGATAGGGTTTAGGTCAAGAATTAACTTTAAGAATCAAGATCACATTAATAAACTAAGAATCTACAACACTGTACACAACCTTTTAGAATCACTATAATGAACTAAGACTTTGCCAGTATAGAAGAGGGAATTATCTGATATCTGCATAATGATGAACAAAGATGTTGGTATATCGTCTCAAATATATTTTTTGACTTTACTGAACAACTCTATCAATTCACTTTTTTAGAAAAAAAGTATCTAGTGATTCTCAATCAATCAATCAATATCGTTAATGCCAAGAGAAATGCACTGCCTCATTCATCTTTTGCTCCCGTTCACGAGGCTCCTTCTTGGTGCGCCCTCGACCCTCCCTTCACGACTGATCTGTCCAAGCCACGACTTCCTTGGTCGTCTCACAACCACAGGGAGTCTGAGTGGGCGATTCCGAATGGTATCAAAAACTGGTCCTGCCAATTGTATTACATGATTTTGTGCAAGGATGTGTAGCAAAAGGCACCAAGACAACTCCAAGCATGGGATAGCATCCAATTTTAATTTTCATAGAGCAGGACTTTGAAGACAAATAACTTGGTTCTTCTGCAAAGGTACTGACATCTCCCAACACTCTTGTCGAGCGATTTTATAGCATCTGCTGCCAAGCCAATCAGCCTACTGACTTCCCTGGTCTAACAACCTGGGGCCATGAATTGCACTACTGGGGTACAAAGCACTTTGTGACTTCGATGTCCTCATTGTATCTGGTGGCTCCCCAAAATTTGCCACTACAATCATATTTTATGATTCATGATTAAATAAGATAACTGACATCGAGGCTGATAACGAAATGTAAATAGCATATGCACTATGGAATTATTACTTTTCTTTAATATTTTTTCTAGATTTACCACAATGATCCCTGTTGGTGGCAAGGTGAGACATTTATCTGGAAAATAAAACCTAAATCTTCAAAATACGGTTTGTGACCAAGACTTTTTTTTCAACAAAAACAATCATGCTAGTTTTGAAATTTGCTTTTTTTCAGGTTGGAGTTACCAATTAAGTTATCCAGTGAGATTCTATGATCGATAATAAATTAATATTCTTACCAGTTAGACAAAGGCATACTGCTAAAGAATGAAGGTAAAGGATTCGAGTTTAATGAACCCTTCAAGAAAAGAAGATGGGTAACCACAGTTCAGTCTCAGAGCAATAAAAAAGATAAAGTAACTTAGAGATAGAAAGAATTCCAATTGGAAAAAATATATATACATATACATCTATCTATCTATCTAATTATCTATCTATTTATCTATATCTATATCTATATCTATCTATCTATCTATATATATATATATATCATGCAGTCATTACCGATCGGAAACTTATTTTCCTGTGTCATCATGTCAACAAAGGCGTGCTGATCCGGAGCGGGATAGAACTTCTCCAGGTGGGTGTTGTCAGGCTGGAACTGCTGCTCCCACAACCCTTTGAAGTAAACGGCATTGGCGAGGACGATATGTGCTCGGGAAATCTCGCGCGGTCTCACGAGTTGCGAGATTTTGCCGCGAGTCGTGTCTCGAACGTACTGGTTGATAATCTCCGCTGCTTTATGAGACTGGGGAAGGAATGAAAGGGTTATTCACCTTGTTTCGTGGAGTTTGTGGAAAGTAATATGGTGTGCTAGAATTTCTCTCCCCCTCTCTCTCTCTCTCCTCTTGTGTATTTTGACAAGAAATTTATGTATCATGTTCTCTGTTAATAGGGCTAATTTTCTGTCTTAAATCCCATAAAACTTTTCATAGGAAAACACTTAAGAAAGAATTCCAATTAAAAAACATTTGAATGGGACATACAAATAGAATGTCATGACTATCATAAATTACTCAAGAAACCTACATATCTAAATATCTACATATCTACATATACATATCTACATATCTGTCTCTGGAAATACGAGGTGTTCACCATAAGAGGGTTTAAGGTTGTTGGGTTGTGCTGTGTTGTTTTTTTAAGACTGCAGCTTTATCATGGCTCTAGATGAGGGACGTCTGAATGTTGAACACTGTATAGAACCGCTACATCTCCCCGACGTTGAAGATCTTTATAGTGTATATTATTTGCACTGGGTATTCGAGAAATAAGTCGAACTGCCCTGCCTGGAATTTTGTCCAGTAATCTAAAATTCTTCTGAGTTGCTCCGTCCCATGCCCACTTTAGGTCCTGTAGGATATCTTCTAGATTAAGGAGATGACTTGCGGTATGTTGACCACAGTTCTATCAATTGAAAGTGACTCCAAGCATGTTGCTGGAGTCTAGCTCTCTTAGAAGGGGTTCTTGGATGAAGACAGCTTAGTTCCTTGTGGCCCGGGACCTAACTTCTTGATATAATGAGGAACTGGTTTTTTTCGGTAGCAAATTGAATTTTCCAACACGAACTTTAATTCATTGCAGTATCTATGATCCTCTGCAGGTTGGTGCTGTTTGTGTTGGCATCATATTTGGAGAAGCTCACTTGATTGGTAAGGTCATCGGTATACGCCTCCCCAGTAAGGAATAAAAAATCCATATTAATGGTCCAAGGAGATCACCTTGTGGAACACCTGCTTCTGAATCTTCTCCAAAAAACACAGTAACTTAGTCTTTTGGGAATACTAAAAGGTTTCCCTCTAACCTTAGGCTTTAGATTTTTTAGTCTCTCAAATCAAATGGTATAAAATGCTTCCGATATATACAGTGCAATGGACTCAGTACCGGTTCTTCTGTGTAGGTTTGAACTCCATTTAACTCTATTGTACTTTTACAATGATTGGCAAAAAAACAACCTATCGATAGTTTTTCAAAGCCATCTCGAAGTTAGTAATTAAGTTATCCAATGAGATTCTTCAACAGAGAACAGATAAAGGCTAAGACTGTATTGATGTATAATCTTTGCAGAATTCTAACAAGAATGCCAGCATTTTTTGAGAGGAACTTTGTGAAAATGAATGATAGAGGGGGACCACTTCAGCTGCACATCTATGGATAATCTCTCTCTCTCTCTCTCTCTCTCTCTCTCTCTCTCTCTCTCTCTCTCTCTCTCTCTCTCTTCTCACCCCTCTCTTTCTCGCGACATCTATATTCCCCTCCCCTCTTTTTCTCTCTTTCTCTAACACTGAATATGATTACCTGAAAAACAACAACATACAAACAAGAAAATAAAAGAGGATATGAGAGATAAAAACAAAGAAAACTAAGAAAAAAGAAAAGAAAGGAAAAAACAAACAAGCAAACAAACAAACAAAAAAAACAGCAGCTTCACCCACCCTTCGGAAATTGACAGTCTGCAGCATGTTGGCGAGCACGTGACGAACACACTCGAAAATTGGGTAGTATTCCTGCACGAAAAGCTTGTTAGCAGCATTGAGGGTGTAGTTGGGCTTGCTGTCCTGCGCCTCGTGTCTGGGGAAAAAAGGTACTGTAATAATGGGTGACGTTGGTGATTGTAACACTCGGCTGGTACAATATATTGGGTGATAATGTATGTAGATTAGTATTGTGTGTTGTATAGTATAGTCGTATAGTACCATATTTAGTGTGTTATAGTAGATTGGTATCATATTTAGTGTGTTATAGTAGATTGGTATCATATTTAGTGTGTTATAGTAGATTGGTATTATATTTAGTATGTTATAGTAGATTGGTATCATATTTAGTGTATTATAGTAGATTGGTATCATATTTAGTGTGTTATAACATTGAGTATGATAATGATTAATGATATCAATGATAAAGCTGATGATTACGTTGACGGTGAAGGTAATAACAATGATTATGATTTTGATAATATTGATGATGATGATAAAGATGAAGATGAAGATGAAATTGAAAATGAAGATGAAGGTGAAGACGAAGATGAGGATGATGTGACGATGGTGATAGTAATGTTAATAATGGTAATGACTATAATAATGAAGATGATAATGAGGATAATAAAAAATATTAATGATAATGACAATAATATTAACTGTAACAAGAGTAACAATAAAGCTAATAATTATAGTGATAAAAACGATGATAATAATAATAATAATAATAATAATAATAATAATAATAATAATAATGATAATAATAATGGTAACAATGATAATGATAATAGTAATAGTAATAATAATAACAATTATAATAATAATGATAACAATAATAACAATGATAATAATATGACTAAAAATGATGGTAATACTGATAATAACGATATATCAGAATAATAATAACAACAGTATGAGTAATACTACATATAATAATAATAATAATAATAATAATAATAATAATAATAACAGCAATAATTTTAACAAGAATAATACAGCAGCGGCAGCAACAGTAATGATAATGTGATAATAATGATGGTAATTAATGATAATGATGATAGTAATTATAATAATGATCATAATGACAATAATAATGGTAACAGTAATGTTGATGATTATGATGATGATGATGATAGTAATAATGATAATGATAACGATAATAATAATAATAATAATAATAATAATAATGATAACTAATGATGATGAACAAGTATAACAGAACAACAATAACAGCAATAATAATAGCAATGAAAATAATGATAATGATAATGATGATAATAACTAATAATGATTGTGGTAATAAGGGATAATGATAATAATAGTAACAACTCCAGTAGTAACAATAATGATAATAATGATAGTAATGATGTTGTTGTTAATGATAATGAAAATAAGAGAAACATCAACAATCATAATGAAAACAGCTTGAATACAACAATAATGATTATCATAGAAATAATCGTAATGACAATGGTAATATAATAAAAGTGTTCAAAATGATAATAATGATAATACTAATTATAATGATAATAATAATAGAAATAGTAATAACTGTGTTAGTAACAATAATGATCATAGTAATAACAATAATTATGGCAATGATAATAACAATCATATTGAATAATAATAATAATAACGATAATAATAATGATAATGATAATGAAAATAATAGTAATAATAATAATAATAATAATAATAATAATATAAATAATAGTAATATAGTGATACTGATAATGATAATAATAATGATAATAATGATGATAATGACAATAATAATGATAATAATAATGATTATAATGACAATAATAATGATAATAATAATGATGATAATGACAATGATAATGATAACACTAATAACAACAATAATCATAATTATAACAAAAATGATGATGATAATAATAATAATGATAATGATAGTAATGATAATAGTAATAATGATAGTAACAAAAATAATGAATGATAATTATAACAATGACAATAATAATGATATTGATGATCATAATAATAATTATGATGATGATAATGATAATAATAATAATAATGACAACAATGAAGATAACAATTATCATAATTAGAACATCAGTTAACATAATGACGATAATACGAATTATAATACTAACGATAATAGTAAAGATAAGAACACCAGTTACCATAATGAGGTTAATATGATAAAGATTATAATGATATAAAAATAATGATGATATTGATAAAGACGATGTTAGGATGAACAAAAATAACAATAAGAACAAAACTACAACATTAATATTATTATTATCATGATTGTTATAACTATTATTATCGTTATTATTATTACCATTATTATTATTTACATTATTATTTATATTATTATAATCATTATCATTATTATTATCATCATCATTATGATAATTTTTATTAATATCACTTATTACTGCTATTATCATTATCATTACTACACTTATTACTATCATTGTTATCATTATTAACATTAGTATCATTGTTCTGATGATGATGATGATTATCATTATTACTACGATTATCATCTTCGTCATTATTATCATTATCATTATCACTATCATTATTATTATTAGTGCCAGTATCAGTATCATTATCGTTACCTTTCTTATTGCCATTCGTATTGCCATTGTTATTATTATCATTATTGTTGTTATTATAATCATTATTACCATCATTATTCTTTTACCAATATCACCATCATTATCATAATCCTCACCATTATCATCATTATCATTACCATTCATATCATCATCATTATCATCATCATCGTCATCATCATCATTACCATCATTATTACTACTATCATTATTATCATCTTTATCATCATCATCATTATTATTATTATTGTTATCCTCATCATCATAATCATTATTTATTATTATCATTACTATAATCATTATCGTTATTGATCTTATCATTATTATTATAGTTATTATTACTATTATTACCATTATTATCATCACTATTACAGTAATAATAATTATTATCATTATTAGGATTATCATCATCATTCATTACTATTGTTATCATGATCATTATAGTAACAATAGTAATGATAAAAATAACAATAATGATTAAAGTTTCATAACAAAACCAATACCGATTGTAGTGACATAAACATTGACTGTATATAACTAAAGAAAACACGATACCAATAACAATCAAAATAATGATCATGAAACACCATCATGGAAAGATAATAGAAGAAAGAGTTCCAATGCAATGCTATTAGCAACAACAACGATGATAACAACGATGATATGATAAGGGAATGGAGATATCAAGATGTTCAATGTTAATAGTTTCCATACCAATAATAATGGTTTGTTGTAGTAACAATTTTCATATTAGCGCATACTGAATAACAATAGAAACAGTGGTAGTAGTGATAGCAGAACAGTAGCAACAATAATGATAATCAGGAATATGATGTTAAGATATGATAAAACAGTAACGCGCACTGTGCAATAGTAGTGATATCATAATTAAGAACAGTGGGTGGTTAGTACTAGTCGTTTTACCTACATACCTTGGATAATGTCTGATATATTTTATTGAAACATTTGAGATTTGTAATGAAAATAAAGATTTCATTCGTTTTAACGTTTTTTTTTTAATGTTATATAGTTTATTGGCTTCTAAAATGTAAAAGCTAGTCTATATAGCTGTTTGTTTATTAGTCTCGTTCTTACCTATGATATAATAAGGTCGTATCTACCCCTCTTTTCTTCCTATCACTATCATCATCGTGTCTGTTAACAAGATGTCCCTACTCCTCCGAAGGCCTTACATTACTGCCCCTATGCTCTCTGTTACCAAGATGTCCTTATTCGCCTTTGAAACATTCGAGCAACAATAATCACACTGATCAGGACTCTACTCACAGTTCCGTCACGGCTCTGTACAAGGCCAGGGTATCCGCCTTGTTGGTGAGCTGGAGGACCTGCTCCAGCTGGGTCTGGGTGTTCCCGCCGGACCCGAAGTAGGCCAGGACGAGGGCGGTCCACACGCTGTAGGGCGAGAACACGAAGTTTCCCTTCGACGGCAGGACCTCCCTGAAGAGCGCGACGCTGAAGGGGGCGATGTGGCCGAGGTCCGGGCGAGGAGGAGGGGACATCTCGTCGTTCTTGGAGATGCACTGAGGGCCCCCCCCGTCGGCCAGGCTTAGCAACGACAGCAACAGAACTCCCGCGGCACTCATGGTCGTGAGGAAACTGATTCGTGGTGGAGTGACTCTCTCTATTTCCATTTCTGCAAATGGAATAAGAGTCTCGAGGAAATAGAATGTATCCTTCTCGTGAATGTCCTAATATGCTCGGCAAGAGAGGTAGTCTATGAGACCTGCCCTCAGTGTGAGCAGGTTGCATTGCAAGGGTCCTGCGTGCACTCAAGGTCGTGTTAATAACGGCCACTCCCGCAATAAAGGTTAGCAATTAACCTTATCAAGTGACAATTATGCCGCTCCGTACAGATTAGTTTACTCATTAGATTAAATGGGCCAGGAATACAGGAAGATGCAAATTTCATTTCATCCATCACATAAGCAATCATGAATATAATCGAACAATTCACAAATCACTTAATCCTAAAAAATATATATATGTCTATAAACTTTCTTCTCATATAATAAGAGACCAGAACATACTTAGAACAAGCAAACCACCTAACAGCCGGAAATTCAATTAAACCAAAGTCCTCGCGTTAATCACT